CGTAAAGTAACAAGAATTAAAGAGGGGGTGATAAGTCCATTGGAAACCAAAAACAATGCTGTCTTCAGTGAAGAATGCAGTAAGTAACTTTCTAATGGATAAGTACTTCTCCAGTACTTATCCATTAGAAAAGGTGGCAAGCCCCAGAATTCCAGCAAACCTTCTGGAACAGTCACAATTCACATCTTGAGAAATAGTGTGTCAAGACTACAACTGTCAAATAAATACCCTTTAATGAAATTGAAGAGGTAAGATTTTTGTTGTTTGATTTCTAAGAGCGGTAGCATCTGTTTTCCTCACTGTTAGGCTTTGCTGTATAACAATAGTAACTATAAATCTTATACCAAGATCACCTGAAATTATCAAGAAATAGCTCTATGCCCTCAGCAAACGTTCTGAGTCAAGCAGGAAGTAAAAAAGAAACTAGTGTTAACACTGAGGAAGCCACAATGTTATCTCTTCTCTTTTCCTTCAGAAAAGGACTTGGGAATCCTGGCAAATATCATGTTCAAGCTAAGCCAGTAATGTACCCTAGGCAATAATGAAGTTCTGCAGCTTTCTAGGCTGCAGCAGGAAAAGCACTGCCAGCAGGAGGAGGGAAATGCGTCTACTCAGCACTGACAGCACGTCTGGAGCACTGGGTCCAGTCCTGGTTTCCCCAGTTCAGGAGAAACACAGACATACTGGAGAGAGCAACAGGCTACAAGCATGGTAAAGGATTGGAGCACCTGCCATTAAAGGATGGCTGAGAGAGCTGAAACTGTCCAGCATCCAGAAAAGATGTTTCAACAGGGATTTTATCAATGTGTATGAACACTTTATGAGAACAAGTAGAGAGGATCACACCAGACTGCATCTTCAGCTGCATACAGTGAAAGGAGAAGAGTCAGCGGGTACAAACTGAAATAAAGGAAATTTCATTTAAAACTAAGAAAAACCTTTTTCCTTGCAGGAGTGCACAGGTACAATTTGCCTAGAGAGGTTAAGGAGTCTTCATCCTTATGACATTCAAAACCTATCTGGACACGGCTCTGAGCAACCCACTGTAGTTAACACTGCATTGAGCAGAGGATCAAACTAATAGATCTCCAGAGACACCTTTCAATTATAACTACTCTGTTATTCTATTGTTCTTCATTCTCTAAATCTGAACTCGATTTTTTAACCCTCCATGTCTGAAAGCAAATCTGTACTGAGCTTTTCCTCCAAACTCCTTAACACCTGACTGGTTCTTTCACTATTAGATATGATTTAAAAATGTTAGAAATTTTCTAAATGGCCGTTTCAAAAGAAATATATTTGAAAACTTTAGCAATTGCAGGAGAAGATGGATGAAGAGGTCATTTAATGGGATGTAACTTGGATGCCTGTCAAAAACCCTACCAAAACAGAATCCAAAAACTCATTAACCCCAAGCTATAGCTGAGAGAGATGCATTTTCAGCAGAAAAGAAGCAGAGCCAGGAGAGGCCAACTAGATAGCAGCAAACTTATTCTAAAACCCACTGGGTTAAAGAGAGCAGAGAAGTTACAAAGTTCTATCTGTTTTGTCATCCTGAAGGCCCCCTTTAGAACCTGGCCAAACTTTGTCTTAGAACTGGAGAGGAATATTTTGAGATCTGGGCTTTTCCATGATTGATTTTAAAAAAAAAATTAGTTGTTTCCCTGGTATTACACATCATGTTATTCCATGTTTGTGTCAACTCTGCCTCTTACTCAACAAATTAGAACAAATTGCATCAAAGATCAACATATGCCATTTAATCATAAGCCACAAAAGGTTCAGTTTTGTCAAGGTTTAAATCAAGGCTGAGGAGCAGATGTTCTGAAGCTTTGGGACCATGGTGTGCATAGAGCTTGCACTCTGATTCAGTCAAAATTAATTAGACCTTTCAAAGAATCTCTTTCTACTCCTGTGGATGCACTTACAGAAACATTTGTCTCCTTCTTTCCCCAGCAGAGTAAGAAGGTCATGGCAAACTAGCATTCCTCAAGGCTCTTCAAGTGGCTGTGCCACACTGGCTTGGAATAAAAAAAATATTGAAAACTTTACTGACAGGAGTTCCAGCAGCCTTGGCAGAGGGGTATAGTGTAAGAAAAGAAGTCAACCAGTGTGTTTGTAATTGTAATATTAAAGACATATCAGAGCTTTAAAATAAAAGGTAATCTGCTCTTTGAAAAGAAAGGAAAAAAGCTCCTCTTGAATCACTAGGAAGATGCTGCCCTGAAAACTATTACTTCCCATCTACTACTGAGTCTTCATAGCAAAATTCAGTTGATGCCAGCAGTCCCAGCTTAAAGAACTTCCCTCGTTCCTATGAAGGAAGGAATATTTCTGAGATTTCTGTGGTCTGTGTTGAGGAGCTACTGTTCCTCAACACCTTCCTCTTGGAGAGGTGTGAAGAAATCACTACAAGGTAAGTAGGACTGTTTCCTTCCCTTTTTACCCCTTTGCATAGAAGAAAAGTGAACAAAGCCATGTGGTTTCTTTATACACTTCATTTTTCAGCTCCCTAAATTCAATAGCAAAGATATATAATGAAACTTTGATTAGTACAGTGCTACTTGGACTGATGCACACAAAACTCAAAAGGCCTGACCAAATGCATTTCTGATAAATAATTCAATCAGGTGTAGAGAAACAAGTGCCATTTCTTCTGTGAGCTACACTGTGCCAGGAGTCACAGTTCTTCCTCAGTGCTTGAGTGTCCATAATTAGTATGTCCCTACAGTGAGGACTATTACTTTGCATTAAAAATTCCATCATTTGAGAATTAAAACTGCAGATTATTTTGTGAAGCAAAGCCAAGATAAATCTTATTACATAGAAAAAATCTTTATAAGTATTGAGAAATGTAATAAAATTTCAAACATGAAAGCAAAAGGGAAATTTTTACATTTCAATTCCATCATTGTAAAGGAAACTCTTTCATGCTTAAAATTCAAACTCAGTGTGTCAAGTAATTTTACTGTTACAGACTTGAATTACCTGCACTGGCCTGAGGGCATTATTCACTCTCTGAGAAAAATTGTACTTTAATACTGCTACGATTTTCCCAAGTCATTTTTATGCAGAAGCTGGGATGAATTTGAAACATCCATTTCAAGATTAAAGTGACAATATTTGGTTACTGCAGAGAACCATGTAATTGAGAATTCATCTTAGGGATATGCCCAAACTTAAATATGGGAATGAGAAAATAATATTAAAAAAGGGATCAATGTTTTGGGTTTTTCATTCAATTTCTGGGATGCAGATATTAAATAGTGTTATAAAATACAAATAAATTCTTACTTCAACAATGTTTAGATGCATACATTATATCAAATTCTTATGCTATATGGAAAGACCTTGAAATTGTTGGTCATTGTCCTAGCCAATTTAATAATTTCTATCATTTGCAGGAGGGAGGATAATCTTCTCACTTCGTTTTAATGGATCTATTTTTTGGAAGCACTGAATTATCAATCTTTTTTATGGGTTATCTACTGCCTGATCATTTGTTACTTCACATGAAACTGGGGACTGGATCCAGAGCATGATCTGAATGGGCTTAACTCCACAACAAAGCCTGACATGAACTAGAGAGAGCAAGAATTTAAAGTACAAATAAATATCCTTACCCAAAACAGTTTCTCAAAACCCTTAAAGCAACAGGCTTTTCAGATTAAACTCTAGATAAATCTCTTATTTTGTAGTTTTGAAGAAATGTGAAGACAGAGAATTGAAAGCTTTTATATTATGTATTTCAACAGTAAATAGGGTCCTGCATTAAAGCAGGATCACTTCATTTCAAAATCAACCACAAAGTTGTTGCCTTGACTCCTTATTTTCAAGGAAATAGCTTGTCTCAGTATAATAGAACTGTTTCAGTTACAATAAACCTTTAAGATCATCATATGCAACTATTAACCCAGCATTGCCAGGTCCACCACTATACCATATCCCTAAAGTCACCTCTAACATCTTAAATCACTTCAGAAATGGTGACTCAACCATTTCCCTGGACTTGAACTCTCTTTGAATCTCATTGCCAGGTTTTTCGTTATAGCAAAACATCCATTAACAATGTATAACGAGGATTAGGAGTTGAACTTTGAGGGGCTTTATTTTATATATAAAATAGATAGAGGCTGGGGGAACATAACATGAGGAGTTTTAATAACTGAAGCAAGGCTAATGCAGGTTCACATGTGTATTTCTCTTATGTCATCTTCAAATTCTTGCTCTGGGAGCCAATGAAGGTAGAAAAGAAGCAACAACTACTTTGATGAATGAAATATGAAAGAATACCCATGACAGAATTTAATTTGTTGCCTTTTGTACTTTCACTGGGGTTGCTCAAAATTCTGTCTTGTTGTCTTGTTGGGAAAGAACGGCATCGTAAAAAAAAAAAAAAAAAAAAACAAACTCATTTTAGAATTAAAGGCCTCCTTCCAGAACTACTACCCTGCTTTTTTAACAGTGTGAAAACAACCACCAATGGCTGGTCTTCCAGAAATACGGAAATAAATCAACCAGTAAAACTCAGCAACTGGGGACACATACCACGTAACCAAGGCATACTGTGCTCTTCACTGCAGCAGGAGAAATTTAAAGCTACAAGAAACAACTGTGATGTAAGTGGGCATCGTGATTCACTGCCTGGATAGTGGTAAATGGCTTTCTTGTTTTCCATTGCCTTGTTTGCATGCATGGCTGCTTTTGCTTTACCTATTAAACTGTCTTTGCCTCAACCCACAAATACTCTCATTTTTACCCTTCTGATTCTCTCCCCCATCCCACCACATGAAAGTGACTGAGCAGCTCATGGGGCTTGGTTGCCAGCTGGAGTTAAATCACGACATAACCAAACTATTATACACAAGATGAAATAGAAATTACAGTGTCAGAATTTGCAATTTTGACAATGTATCATAATATTAGCTAAAATTAAGTGCATTTCCTACTTTAGCTAAATTATTTCAAAATTTTGATTTTTCCACTAAATTTTTGCTTACCTGACTGAAGAAGATTCATCATTGTTCTTCCTCCTCTGCTACTGAAATGCAGCCCTGATGACTCTATCACTAAGTGGCTGAGTTGGTCTGAAGTTATCTCCTAGGATTCCATCAGAGCCCTCTAAAAGTTCAGCACCTTTAGCATGAGTCCTCAGTCTTCGAAATTCCTCTATCTGAAAGACAGAAAAACAGAAATGAAGAAGCTGAGACATATTCTTCACCATGGGACTAATGATCACAACCAGCCCTGTCCAGCCAATTATTCAGCTTTGAAAATTGGAGTGTTCAGGTACCATATAGTAAGGTCAATATACATTAACAACATTTTAAAATAGTCATCAGCACTGTCAAAATATTTGAGATATAGAGAAAAACAAGAGCTCTTAAGTACATGGTTTGGCAAAATTATCCTCTGCCTTTTCAAAGCTTCTTTTAAGATCTACAACCAACAATCTTGGCTGTTGCAGATTACATCCAATGAATCAGCCCTACTGTTTTGTGTTTAGAGTAGCAATTTGGGTCTTCTTAAAAGAAGCGCATTTCAGGAATAACTTGCTTGACTATAAATTGTTTTGATATTCTCCTAGTGATTTATTTACTTCCTGAAATTGTTGTTATCTTCTAAACCAGAAGAGTACTGGACAGATTCTTAGATTTAGAGGATGTCTGTTGACATTTTATATGAAAAAATACTGGTTTTGTGATCAAAACAAAACACTGCTTCAGTATTCAGTATTCTGTATTTCTGTATATCTGAATTTTCAGTATTCTACTGGTGTAGATAGTCAGAAAGTCAAATACAGTGAAAAATAAATACAAAATATTTCAATTGAGCCAAAACAAATATGTTTCTTGCTTATGCACTCTTTTTAGATTTTTCTAAATCTGATATGGTGTGCAGAAGAATATAAGCAGCTTCCATCTCCATCCCTGGTACTAGCATCAAGTGCTTCATGACAAGACACTCTCCATTACTATTCACCTGTGCCGTTTTTAGGAGTCTGAGATGTTAAATAGTTACAACTACTAGAAAAAATATTTTTCTTTGACATATTCACAAGCTGTCTTTGCTGGATACAGCAAATGTACTTGATGGCTGACTCCCCTGCATACTACAAAGCCTCAGCCTTTGTACTTGTACTGGCCATGTTACGCTTCACTATGCAGTTCATCTCTAACTTGAAACTGAAGATACACAGAAAGTAAAATGGAGCCTGGAGTACACAATCATTTTATCATCTAAGAAGTTTTAATTTCTCTGTGAAAAACACCCTAGGAAATATTACAGGGAGAATGTAAGCATGATTCCAGAATTAAATTAAATGAGGTACTAAACAGCAGGTAATGGCATTTTTATTCTTATCCTGTCTACAGAGAATACTTTCTTACTGCAACCTGGAACACAACTGCCCTCGGTGTTTTCCACTCTACAGCAGTACTGATACAGACTTATTTACTTGATTTAGAGGCTAGCTCTTCTCTACTTAATTTTCCTCAAAAAGTAGTGGGCTTGGAAATCAACACTCAGCTTGTGGTAGCTGAGATATAAGGCAACAGCTTAGACTGCAAAAATGAAAAAAGCTCCTTGAAGGTGCTTTTAGAGGCAGAATCCTGTTATGGAAGATTTTTGTTCTTGTTGTTTACTTAAAGGAAACTGAAAACAAACCCACTACCAGCTTGGAATTGAAAAAATCTTCAGAACTCAAGGGCTGGTAAATGACTGAAGGAGCTTTGTAAAATCATACTTTTTCACCATCTGAATCAACTCTGGAAAGTCTGAGATAATTGCAGTTTAGAAAGGAGCACTTTACAAAAATGTGGCTTTTGTTTGATCTTGTGAGAATGAGATACTTCAAACAAAGACAGATGAAGGAGAGGGAAGAGCAGGCTCTCTGCAAAGCTGGCATTTGTGAGCTGTCTCCTACTGAAACTACAAATGCTCCGTCTCAGTTCCCACAATGAAATCTTTCTCCAGGAGGTAACTCCTCACAAAGCAGCTTCCAGTTTCTTCAGTCAGGAGAGTAGAACTGACCTGATCTCTGTGCCTGCTCTTTAGTCTTTACAGAAGTCAAGAATTGCAGCTCTGCTCCAAGGGGGAATTTCTTCTGCAATCAACACCCTCCTTGTTTAGTTGTTCCTTCCATGGACTGCTGTGACAGAGACCCTCTACTACATGGTGATTTGCTCTACCCATGAGAAGTACTTCTGTCAGAAAAGGACATCAGCTGTGCCAACACAACTTTCCCCATTAAAATTCCATGTGGCAAGGTAATATGTTGTCTCAGGTTGAAAGGTAGCTGATGTGTGTTCTATTCCCATCTGTTAGAGGTGGGGCAGTGATCTTCTGTTAATTGGGCAGTTTTTCTTTATCTCTTCCACAACCAATCCTCCCTCCAGGAAATACCTTCTGTTATTGGGCCATTGAGTGTCACTGCATGGCTGATAAAAATTACAGCATCCCATTGTGAGGTGCACTGCCCAGAGGGAAGAGCCAAGCATTCCTAACTGGATATCATCTGATATTTGGAACATCACGGTCAGCCTTTCCCCACTGGATTCCCAGAGGAGCAGCTTTCTTCTCCACTGGATTCACAGAGGAAGACCAGGCCCATCCACACCACCACCAGACTTCCGAGGAAAACTACACTCTTCTACAGACTGCTTCAACATAACCACATCTGTTACTCCAGATGTGAGGACTGCAGCCACCATTCAATCGGACTGCCACCGACACCCTGACCAACAGAGTGTCAGGTTATGTTCTGACTCTGTCAATAGTTTATTTTTTTTTTCTCTTGTACTGTTGTGTTAGTATTTTTTTTATATTTTACTGGTAAAGAACTGTTATTCCTATTCCCATATCTTTGTCTGAGAGCCCCTTAATTTCAAAGTTGTAATTTGGAGGGAGGGAGTTTATATTTTCCATTTCAGGGGAAGCTCCTGCCTTCCTTAGCACACACCTGTCTTTTCAAACCAAGATATATGTGTGCCCTGCTGATCCTGTTTCACTGCTCACCATCTCCTCCCAGCCCCTCATAAGTCAATGCTGTGGAGTACACCCTGCAGGACTGCCAGTGAAACAGATGTTTTAGAGGCATATGGCTAAGTACCCTTGGATAGTCACATACTTTTACCAGGAATGGCTACTTTAAAAATTCTTCTCCCATCCAGAAGACATTAAGGATGACCCAAGCCTGTTCACACTGAAATTTGGGATTAAGATCTAACCAGTGTAGAAGGCAAATCCACAACTGTGAACAGTTGCATTTCTACTGAGTAAAACCATTCATGTTCACTTTGTGTAGAATTTTTTTTACCACTCATTGTATTCAGATCCTGAGCATTCTTCTGTTTCACTTACACATTTGCTGAAGAATAGAGCACACAATACTAGAATTTGCATGTTTTCTATAAGCATTTCTTTGATATGAAGTGTAGAAGCATTATTCTTCTGTTTGAAATTTTTACATGTATCCATGACATCTTCCAAGAGCATGGATCTACTTTGCAGCACCCAAAATACCATGAAGCTCTGAGTGCTTTATTTTAGTTTACATAAATTTTGCACATTTCCCACTACAGCTCCATATGGTAGTTACTCTGTCTGTCCTTTGGTAGTTTTTAATTCTGAATGAGGTAGACAAAAGGACTAGAGACCATGCCGCTCAATAAAAGACCAGTTATCTCTGACAATGAATACAGCAAAACAACAGCTCCTTCTGCATCATTGTTTAAAATCCCTATTCTGAGTGGCTTAGACAATGCACTTGGTCTTCAGTGAACCACAAAGCATTTATTCACAAATGTCCCTTTTTTTTTTTTTTTCTTTTTTTTTTTTTTTAGTATAGTGGACAGAAGCATGACTAAGTCTTTTTCAATTATTTCCTGGTTTTTACTGGCCTAATAGGAGTTTTCTCCTACTGCATTTCAGCAGGTACATGCATGTGCCATGTATCTTACAAAAAGAATCAACACAGTTCTTTGGGCTGTGCATTTCAACATAAATCAAGTGAGGATGACAAAAAAAAATCACAATAGGAGGACAGGAATATGCACAGAATAACCCATGAAGGACTTTTTCATGGAAGTGAAGTCTCATAACAAAGAAAATTACTTCCAATGAGGAAACAGCATTCCTCAGGACTCCAGGAAAGCACATCCTGATGCTGCAGTCCTCAATTCCTCTTTTGCTGTTTGTATAATCAGCACACTCAGATCTCCTTTCACTTAACTTTGACTTAGATCAGTAACATATCTATTCATCATCTGGACTTTACTATCTGAAAATGTCTCCCGGTAAAAAAAAGATTCTCTATTTTGTAATGGTCAGCCCATTGTGCCTATGTCAAAATGGTTACTTCATTGTTTCAAAATAAGAAAATGTGAAAATATTTTATGAGTGTGACCATGAAACAGAAGGCAATTTTATTCATTTTTTGCCCTTATGACCGGCAGTTTGTTAAGCTGATCCATATTGCTGTGTTAATTGCAGAAAATTAGCATATCGACTCCAATATATGAACTAGTTTGATCAGAGGAAAGAAACAAAACCTATTCCATATTATATTATGTAATTCTTTATTTACTTGTTACTGACACTCAGAACTTGATTATTTCATGGCCTGAAAAATGAAAATGGCCTTGAATTTTTCTCTCACTGGCTATAACCACAGATGCTACTAGTATTATATAAAGCACTTGACATTTCATTAGTATCCCAGAGAAGAAATTTCTACAAGGTAGTGACAAATGTAAAAATAATGTACTTAAACCTATTAGAAATGCATTTGCACTGAAATCTATGATTTAATACTACAAGCTGGCTTAATAAAATGAAATACCTCTACCAGCCTTCCACGGAAGATTCAAAATGGTATATCCTATACTACATCCTCTTATTTTCCACAGACAAAAGCCCTTGCATTTCTAATCTCTCCTTAATCTCTCCTGGGCAACTTGCTGTAGATGAACCTGCTTTAGCAGGGCATTTGGAATGGATGCTCTCCAGAGGTCCCTTCCAACCCCAATCATTCTGTGTTTCTGTGATTAAATGAAATCTCTCATAGGCACTCATGCTCACATGCACAAAAGAGGCCAGATAGTTCATTGCAGCCAAAATGGTAATTACAATTTAAAATCTTGAAATTTTAGCTAGAACCAACAAAATCATAATTTGCGCATCATGGAGACCTCACAATACCTTTTAATTTACAAATCCCAGAATCATCACCTACCCCATATTTATTTTTCATTGACATATTTATTTATCATTGACATCTGAAAGCAATATCTGATGAAACATAATTTTTTTTATGTCCCTTTTTTACCCCTTGGCAAAAGCCTTTCAAGTTCTTAATAATTATCTTGCCTGCACAACCTTAACTTTAATGCTGCAATCATAAATATCACAGAGGAATGTTTTTCTAATTGATGCTTATCTATGACAAGTATAGTGGATCATCCTGGTGTGAGTCTGCTCCAATCCATCAGTGGACTCCTGTGCCACCTCTCACCTGTGTACAGTGCCAGTGGGAGGGAAAAGCTCCTCCATGGCTTGCATGCCCTCCATCACTGCAACGTTTTTGGATCGGGTTTGCACCTACCAAAGAAATGCAGGAACACAAAGCAGCTACCCCTCACCTAACAAAGGCCATGGCTGTGAATCTCAGTCTTTGCCCCAGGCACTACGGGTCACTCTTTTCCCCAGGCACAATATTCTTTTCAGGAGTCTTATCCCCTTCACACAAGATTCCAATATCCTGCTTGCTTGTGGTAAATTAGCACACAGTAATACTAACTAAAGTTGCATTTCTCTTCTTAATTCCTCTTTTGTTAACCCTCTTGCTGTCTCCTGCTACACGTGGATGGATTAAACTGGGCTCTCCTCTGTGCACTGACTGGATTAAAAAGGAATAGACACTACAAAATCTGCAATTAGCAACATCATACTATGTCTCAGCTGTAATAGCTGGACTTTATACATCTTATTAATTAATATTATTTATCAATATTATTTATTATTTATCAATATCCCATCTGGACAATTAGCTGACAAGTTACAGAATGCACTCTGTCTTTAAAAGTTATTCTGAATCAAATAATGCTTACAGAATGCTGTTTACTCAGTAGTAAGTAATGCATTTACTCAATAGTAAGCAGCCACAAGTCTTAGTTTTTCATAAACAAATAACAGACTCATGATGGGATGCATTTAATTTGCAGCTATCAGACAAATAACTTATTGGGAGCTATCCTATGATTAGACCTAGAATTCAGTTTACATAAAACAAGAAATGCTGCCAATTTTAAATTGTTAAAAATGTTAAAATATTGTGTTAGAATATTGTGTTAAAATTTTAAATTATTAAAGCTGAAATAATTTAATTTATCACCTTTTATACTTTTTATACATGCTTCAGAGCAGGCAATGAAAATGAATGCATTGAGCTTCAGGGATTCTAGGTGGGTTCACTTAAATTAAATGCACATTCCTCCAGCTGGGATTCACAGACTGTGGGAGAATATTCATCAGGAGGTTTCATTGCTTTTAGTGGGATTATTTGTAGAAAGATTTGAAAAATTGTACATTGAAAGGCTCAGAAATGTTAGATTTAATTTAAGAAAAAAAAAACCCAAACATTTTAAGCTACATACATGTGAAATCAAATTTAAATAGGTAGATTCCATTTGGCATTTATTATAAAACTGAATTTTAAAAGAGCCAGATAAATTAAATATAGTTCAGTGCAATCTAGCCAATCTGTACTACATTAATGTTTCTCATTCTGCAGGACACAGTGCCTCCCTGTGCTTTTTTTTTTCCTTTAACGTTGAAAAGCAGTGATATTGAAAGCTTACAATTACAAAGAATTGAATTTATTTTGCCCATTGAGTTCCTTTTTTTCTTTTTTGTTGACTTAAATATAAGAATTATTTTAAATGCAGATGATAAATGATAACAAGAATTTTCATCTCTGACCTTTGCGTTGCTTTCAGTGACTCAAAAGGTTTGACCTTTACTTGAAAAGCCACGTACTGATCTAATGGGATCTTTAAGGAGAACAGACATAACGTTCTGATATATACATTTGCACGCTATAACCTTTAGCTATAACCATATTCCAAGGTCAATTTGAGCACAGCTGTTACCTGCACTTGGGACACAGTCAAAGGATAGCGAAATAATATCCAGGTGACACCTTCACTGCAGGGTGGAATGGTTAGAGAGCCCTCATACACCCAGTAGTCACGCAGAAGAGGATCTGAAATCAAAAGAAACGTGGAATTTTAATGACTATTAGGAAGATAATGGTGTCTTTCAGTGACAGCTTATGACAGCTGTGGGCTCACTCACATGATGAAGTTAGTAAGCAGAAGCTAAGGTGTGAATTTATAACCTGCCAAGCACTGCCCACTGCTTCCTCATACGAATGTATATGAGCTTGTGGTCATTATATTACAAGAAGTTCCCCTGAAGATGAGCATTTTAGATGTGAATATGCCACTCTGTAGATGTGAAAAATAACAAGTGCACAGCTCTTGAAATTAACACAGCAAATAAGCAATGTTATGGGAATAAAGTAATTCCTGCTAATGTCAAAAGCTAAAAAGAGCTGTATTTTGAAGGCAGAGGGTCTGTGGTGATTGAATTTTAACTGATCTCCACATTTAGGATATGTCTTAAGAATTAATTTTATTTCATGCTTTAGAAAAAAATATCAATGAAAATTCAGCTGAAGAAGAACTTTTCACTTTGCAATTCTGGTGACATATTTTTTGAGATGCACTGGTGCTTCCTACCTTTGGAAAAGTGAGTTGAATTTCAGAGGGGAAAAAACATCAAGGTTTACCTTACAATTACATAATTCCTTAAGTTTATATATTTGTTAATAGTTTTATAAATAACTGTTAGGATAAACAGTTGTCGCTGAAAAATTTGTGCAAAATTTTGTGCATGCAGAGTTTTAACTCTACATAAAACACATTTGATTTTCATTATTTTAATTTTAATTTCTCATAGATTCCAATCACATTACACTCCATAAGTGAGACAGCACAGGGCTTTCTTTTGCTGCTGTAGGCCATAGAGCCTAAAAAGTACTAAAAAAAGGAGAGAAAACTGCCTGTCTTTTCTTGAGAAAAGAGGTTTCTCAAGAAACAAACCTAGAGAGAAACTAGGGAGAAAAAGGGTGGTTAATCATGGCATGGAGCACCAGGGGAAAGGTTGTGTCTTGCTTGACAAGGGCAGAATGGGATACTGGAAACAGATAAACCTGCTTGGTGGAACTAACACATTACTGTCATTTCACTACTAGCTCAGAGGAATACCAGTAGAATTAAATCTTACTAACAAAGCTTGTGACTGTCAGCAAATGGATTTTCTTTTGTTGGTGCAATTTTCTTTCTCAGCTAGGAAATGATGTAGCAAATCCATTGACAGCAAGTTGCATTATCAAACACTCAAAAGTTAAGAACTGCAAGAATTAATTCAGCCCATCCTGTGCATGCATCATGATACAGTGCTGTCACATGGTCATGTGTGTCTTTTCTGGAGAACCTTTCATCGTTTACTTGCAAAGACAGATTATTTTGTTTTGAAAAGTACATAATATTATTTAGAATTCTCAGTACAATATGAGGAATTTGGAATTCTTTTTCCTATGCTATTGAAATCTTGCTTGTTAGAATATTTTCTCATTTTTCATATTTCTAATACACTCATTTCTCCAGTGCCTGAGAGCTTAAATAATTAATTTATCCTCCCATACCCCAGAGTGGTGAGGAAGGATAGATTATCCCCCTCAATTTACAGCTGGGGAACTGAGGCAGAGAAGATGAGGTCAAATGCATCTATTCATTTGAGATGTTCAATATGACATGCTTAGAACCTGATTTCTCAGAGTATTTAACTTTCTATAGGACATAATACAGTCAGAGCACTGCTCCCATTGACTTCTCTTGGAGGTGTAAGCACTCAGCACTTCTGCAAATCAGACCCCATGATCTCAAGTCGGGCACCTGGAAAATGAGGAACACATAGTTAGAGATGACCTGTGAGCATTTTTGTTTATGTGACTTGATCAGCATCAAACAGGAACTGTGAGGCAGGGATGCTGTGAAAAATAGCTTATGGTCATGCAATCAGGTGATGTTTCATAGTGGTTATGCATGAGAGGCACAGGCTGCCTTAATTCCTGCAATTCCTCGTTGCTGAGACTTGACTTTGCAACCTAAACAATATTCTTTTCATATAATTAATATAGCTTAATGTAGACCTGGGCTGCTTTGAAAAATTCAAGATCTTGACACTATGACAGAGTTTAGCTCAAATGGATTCCTTGCAGAAACATTTTTCTTTAGAAATGTTTTTTTTAACATCACATTTCTTACTGTTACTCTCTTTTAGCTACGTAAGTTTGAATTTTCCTCCCTTTGTCCCTTCTCCTTTTTTGCTATACAACTGCCATTGCACAATGGCATTGTCTTTTGATTCTGCCAAAAATATTACCTTCTTAATTGAGTAGCCTTACACTCCCTATTTTATGCCCAAGTAGAGAAAGGAATACACACAGTTGTCTCTCTGGATGGGTGGGTAAATCCTCAACAAAGCTGGCCATGTTGTTTTCAGCAGTGCACACACTACAGAAATACATCCCACTCACATGACAAAGGTGCAGATTTACACTAAATTCCAATGGGAATTCACGACTACCCCTGTCAGGATGTGCATTACCACCCTATGGGATCACTCAGGCTTGCAGTTTAGGCTAGGCTTTAGGATTGTCTCAGCCCCTGCAATTGGCTACTAATCCACACACAAAAAGTAAAAAAGTGCAAAAGTAAGCAAAGGCACCTACCTGGCAATAAAGAGTTGGGATTAAAACAGGGTATTGTTTTGGACTTTCCCTGAAAAAATGAATACAAGTCAGTCTCATCTCTAGCTTCTAATTAAAACGCTGATGAATGCCAAGGTAAAACACATTCTGTGTTCTTTTACCATTAAGACTTGAATTCCTGTGGAAAGCAACCTCACTAAGAGCACCCATTTAATCATCACTGCATTTCTCCTTGCAGCTACACAAACATGTATTTTTATCCTATTTTTTATTTCATTTTCAAGCTTATCCCAGCAATTTGTTAACTTTCTACCTTTAGCACCTGGACTTCTTTAAGCTCCCAGCCTTGAAATTCTCTATATGAAATTCAGGGGTTTCATACAAAAAAAAAGTTAAAAAAACCAAGGGCCAAAGTGAGCTTTACTTAACTGATGTGGATAACACTTAATAAAATAATGCTGGTCCTACATATTTAATACAATAAAATGTTATGTGTGCCAAAGTGTGTTTGATGCCTTTGAAAGAGACAATTATAACACAGTCCCCATAATGGTGAGGCCTCTCATGACCTTCCTCTGCTCGGATGTTGTCTCAGTAATGAAATTAGAGTTCCATACACTATTGTTTCCTCTGATACTTTCATAAATAAAGAGTTTATAATATTAAACATCATGCCTGAAGTTTACCGTATAGCATTTGACTAAAAGATTTCAATTCCTTTCTTATTTTTCTGCACTTCAGCATGGTAATCTCTTCAGACCAATAAAAATATGTGTCATCAATACATCTCAAATTCCTTTTAAAATCAAAGGAATGTATGATTATTTCTATGTTACAGATCATGAAGCAAAGAGTTGAAAGTAACTTGCCCAAGGTCATTTAAGATAGTGTCAACATTTTGGAGAGCACTCAAATCTCGTCAGTCCTGCAAGGATTACTACCTGTCCTTCAGAATCTCCAGATATAATCCACTTGACAAGTTGGCATTGTGTTTTTGCTGATTTCCCTGCAAGTTAATAGGGTTGCTCACTTCATCTGCTCTTTTCTTCTACAAACTAAAACCAGTTAAGTTTGGAGACATGGCTGTTGGTGCTCACTAAGCATGTTGCAGTGCTGGCACTCACACTCATTCCATGAAAATCACTGAAAAGGTAGGACTTGCAAGCAGTTACTGGTATAGATCAAACTTTCTGGCCACCAGAAAAAAAAAAAAAAACATATTAGCTGAATAATATTATCAGAATAAAATGCTAAGGTTTTCATGCTGGCCACCAAATGATGGTTTTTGTACATGGTTTTACCAGAGACACATCTGAAATCTTTCTCTTGACTCCCTACAAACCCTTTGCTTATTGTCTCTGTGGTCATTAAAGGAAGCATTGCTTCAGACAATGCCTTACCTTGTACTGGATGTCCTGAAGAATTTCAGTTACAGCCTTTAGGCCCACATGCTCTTTTCCTATCTGAAATACAGCAAGCAAAGGTGAATTTCAGTATCTTGGTATTTCAGAAACTGTGAGGCAAAACACAGGTCAACCAGAACAGTCAGTACTATAGCTGTTTTTAGTTTAGCTACACAACCTTGTGTTAATCAAATACACTGATACATGACAGCTCCAAAAATTAAATCATTATAAAACCACCAGCCAAAAGTAAACAGGGCTTAAATAACTTTTAAGCAGAGACAACTCACAGAACAAGAGAAAGAGTCAAAATTAAGTCTGGTAGGTTTTTATTAACCCTGTTGTGCAGCACCTGTTCTATGTGGAGTCAAGATCATGCAGTATTGTGGAATATAGATGCCAAGGATACAGTTTGTCCTTACTGGTTTTTGCCAGAAAAGTACACAGAAAGGAACAGAGTGAACAAGCAGAACAGAAAATTTTTGAATTTGTTCCCATAGCGTTGCAAATCTGGCCCAAGGTATCTCTGAAGCTCAGGGGAGTTTTTTCGTGCCTGCAGAGCACAGAACAGCAGATTACCTCTCCCACAGCATCTCTGGGATGGTGCCAGTGAAAGCCAGGCTCCAGCAGGCTGCAGCACTGCCTCTACTGAACGCCTGTGAGGCACGGGAGATGGGGCTCTAGAGAAACACTGAGACGAGAGATTCTAATTTTATATGGACGTTGCTCACTCTGCACACTAAACTCAGCTGCTTCTGACTCAAATCACCCATTCCAGGATCCTAGCTTTACCGACAGAACAAAATCAGAAGAGGCAGAATGGCTTTCCACTTGCTTTCTTTGCCAACGTGTACAAATACAAGGTGAGGAAACAAACCAGCATGAGTGAGAATGGGAGAGCTAGACCCGGAAAAGTTTGTTTGCTTTTTGTTTCTCTTGGAATAGAATGACACAGTAGCCATTGGAAGGAAACAACTGAATGTCAACAAAAGGTACTTTGTTACTTCTAGGAATTTCAAACGTTTCAAAGTACATAAAAGACATTGAAGTCACTTCAAAGATGCAGCTTCTAAATTAATAATCCCCAAGGGCTGTCACTTAAATCAGTGAAAATATTTTCATTGACCTTAAAATAATGTATTTTGAGAACCATGGTACAAAATTATTTTTCCATGCCTTTACCAAGAAAAAAATAGTCACCAAATTTCCCCTCATTTTTCTTTAATAAACAGCTTAAATATTATTTTTCCTTGTCAGTAGTAATTATGCATCTCTTGGCTAATGAGGGAGCCTTTTTGGGATGCTTATGAACCCTGATGTGGGTGACAGACCAGAAATGGAAAATGTATCATTGAAGTTTCAAATTTATTTAAGAACTTATATATAACTTTCTAACTGACTCAAAGGTTACCTCTGCTGGAATAAGAAGGTGACTTACATAAGCAATTATCACACAGCCCTCTAGGACACAAAGCTGAAGACTTTCTAACTTCCATTTTTAGCAGTTCTATCTGAGTGTTGAGGCAGCAACCAACGTACCTTTAAATTCAGAGGTAAAGCTCAAAGGCACTCATAAACTCGTTATGAAATACGACAAATTAATAATACCACTGTGCAAGAAAATTCATTTGATCTAAGGATGAACTTTAAACCTCTTCCTCCAAACCCATTTAAATAAAACAGTTTGCCATTTCTCATGAGGAAGATGAGAATCTGGTGTTTGAGGACTAAAACTGAAAATCTTTATAGGGTGCAGACCTTGAAAAACCTTCAACAGCAATTAGATTATAGTGCTAACTTCCTAGAATTCATTCTACTTTGTCCCCAGGAAGCTTTAAGCCTCCTCATTGCAGGCTTTTCTGAGGGTCTCTGGCAATTGTTGTTAACACTCAGTCTCTGAAGAAGTGATACGACTCCACCTCACATTTGTCCTGTGTGAAGAAACACACTTGTCCCTGTGCTCAGGAAAGCACAATTCTAATACCAGTTTTCAGCAGTGCCAATGGCTTTGTAGGCCTTTTCTTTAATCTTTCCTCCTCTCCTCTGTCTATATCCTCAACCCCTGAACAGCAGACCCAGCCAGGAATTAAGAGAAATACATCACAGAGATAGTGAAGCACTTGTCCCTCCTGACAGCCCTCATTCTGCTCTCAGAGGAATGAAGATTGGATGTTTGCTTATAGCCAGAGTCCCAGAAAGGTGCCTGACTATGTATTATCCCTTCTTTAACTAACATACTTCCAATATCCTGTTTAAACAAGAATTGATTGCTTAGCGCACATATAGAAGACATGACTGAAAAATATCTTGCAAACAGAATACCGGCAGTCATACATTGCTTTCTTTCATGAAATCATTAAAAATTAAATAACATTGAAAGGACCTCATTATCCTCAGACAAATGACAGTGCATCATAACAAGTGTAACACAGGAGACTTACCTGCACAAACAAAGCAATAATAGCTATGCCGTGCTTCTTCCCTACTGCCTCATCAATGCTGCTGTACAGTGTGGAGTTCCAGTGCATGAGATGAAGCTAAAACAAAGCAGTGCAAACATAACAATAGAGAAACATGTAATTAAAAACACCAGCAATTAACATCAATTAACAAAGCCTCAGCATGTTTTGTGTGCACATGCAGGGATAAGTGGATTTACTATTGATAATACATATTGTAAACATCAGGAACACCAAGGAAAAAAAACCAGATGTTGCAGATAAAGTGGTGTACAGCCAGTTACAAAAATCTACATCAAAGGTGTGAATGACTATAGTAATGATGATTTAACAACTCTCTCAATCTGAATACTAAAATAATATCAGCTAATGAAATCCACCAACACTGTCCCTCAGCTCTTTCCCAAGGTAGGAGAATTATTATGGACATAGGCTGTCCAAACACACATTAGACTGACTGACTGTACTATCACAATGCCACTTGTCTCACAAGCTACCTCCCAAGACAAATCATTCAAATGTCAGTAGTAAGAGTAGAAGTGATTTCAGAAAAGGTTAAACACAGAGTAAGTTGAACAGAGAAAAGTGGCTTGAGGATTTCACCCTTAGGGGTGAGGGTGAAATAAAGATATGGTAAAGAGCAAAGGAGCCAATTCAGGAATACCTGAGAGGCAGTAGACACTGGATAGTAAACACAAAATCTGTTGTGGTGAAGTGTCACAGCATAATGTGGGAAGTAGTGCTTGAGAAAAGAGCTGGAGGGCAGACTAGGAGGAAGTTGGAAAGGGAATAAAGAATGGAGGGGAGGGAGATGATGGGGAAGAGAAAAGTGCTGGAAAACAGTGACATAAGGGGAAGGAAGGAAGGAAGGAAGGAAGGAAGGAAGGAAGGATTTTGAAAATAAGTTTTTCCAGAAGTAAATGTAAATCTCTGTGCCTAGGTCTGATAACACTGTAGAGCTTCGACATTGTAAGCACAGCTGCTTTGAAGTTTATCTGCCAACTCTTAGACAATTTCCATTGTAAAGTCACATTCAATGTTTTGTTCAGTCAGGTGTCTAAGAAGTTTAAATGTCATTTTTATAGCTAACTTTGTTTCCACCTTCAGCAAAATTAGGTTTTAAAACAGTGTATCTTCCTATTTTGTTTTTTATTTCTGTGCAGAAACAGCCACTGTGAAATGCTTATTGTCCCTTACACAACAGGAGTTCAGTCAGGCATGTCAGCATTTCGGAGTAACAGTTCTTCAAGCAATCACTCTCCACTTATTTCTTTCCAATATGAATTTTAGGCACTCGTCTTGATGACTGTTATTCCAAAAGTAAATACAAACTTTTAAATGAACATATTGTAAATTGAATTAAATTCCAGATTATCACGCAAATAATTTTATTCGTTTTGATCAAAGGCATCTGCTGTGGCAAAAAAAAAAAAAATTCTTAGCAAACACAATAAATCATTTTTACATGAGAACACTAATATAAATAACCTATTTGCCCACAGCTACACGACTTGTAGACATACAAGCGCTCCCTGTTAGAACTAAGCCCGTGGATTTCCTTGGTTGTGTGCATTTTATCACGAATGAAAAGCTTTGTTACGCATTTGGTTTGCCTTTGGATTTTAAAGCCAGAGGACCAAATAATGAGATCTCGGTCTCCGAGGTCTTCTCTCCAGAAGAGCCTGGCGTTCGCAGCAGCTCCCCACTAGAGGGAGATCACGGAGTCCCACAGCCCGAACCAAAATCCTGATGTTAAGAGGGAAATGTGAAAGAGAAGTTGGTTGTGGTGACTGCAGTGGGGATGGCAGTGTCCTCAGAGCTACGAGGATTCTCTTGGCTGGACATGTCAAAGCCAGCTTGTCCCTTGGTACCTGGAACTACAGCACTGAGGACATTCCCCAGGGGTCCAGGGACCATGGCTTTGCCTGTGTCAACAGACAGGTTTTGGCTGAAGCTGCTCTGGCATTCAGCAGGTTACATTCCCTTGGAGGTGAAGCCTAATCTGACATCTGTCTGCGTTCTGACAACAGCACATTTTCTCTAAACAGATCTGAAAGGAAAATGCTGAACCCCAGAAAGAGGAAAATGAACAAGTACTTCAAATTGTTCAAGCAATGACTCCAGTTTATCCAGAAAGAGATTGTCCTATCTTAAGCAGCAGATTCATCAGGGCACAGATTTCCCTATGATAAGGCTGCATTACCTAGAAAAGTGACACCAAAACCTCTGTGTAATTGCTATAAAATGTTAAGAGCTCTAGAATTAGTCTAGTGCAGCAGTACATATATATGTAAAAGTAATGTTGAAACCCACAGACTAGGTTCAGGTTTAGTAATCAACATCACTAAAGGAACTGAAAAATAGGCAATCAGCACTTTCTGGTCTAAAGGTCTCTGTAACTTTGAGGGTCTGCTAAAGGACATTTAAATTCCACATCAGAGTCCTCAGAACAAGATCCATCATTTTGTACTGGGTTGCTAACACCCAAAGTAGAATGAACTTCTGATACGTGTTTAAAATGCTGGTGTTAAAGATGGCCATAATTACAGTGGATTAGTGACATATTTTTCACACAGCAGGTTGCAAGCTTGCTGTCATAAACAGTAAAGAAAACAGGTTAGAGAGCACTCCTAGCCCCATGACAGTAGATGGCTGGGGAGTACAACAAAAAGTGGGCTCATGTTGGGCTCATGTCTTCTTTCTACATAGCACCCCTGATTGGTACTGCTAACAACAGCACACTGGATGCACTGCAGTGTATTTGTTACGTTCCTATGTCCTGACTCAAGGTAATATTCACAATTAGCTCTTCACAGAAAATGTTCTATCATTAGTGATTTACAAACTGAAATTAGAAAGGCAACCTAATGGAAAATAATCATTAATACCATGTTATTTCCAAACAGCAGGCCAACATATCATTTAACTCTATAAGACCATGCATGCACACTCAAATAATTAAATGCATTTGGTTATGCACTTAAATAAACGGAAGTCAAATTATTTCTTCTACAAAGCAAAAAAAATGTAGCTCAAAGCAGGGCTGGGTAAGTACATGGAAAAGTCATTCAGAAAGTGGTGCAAGGAAGTAGTAAGTGTTTGTAGTAAAGTGTGGGGGTTTTTTAAATCATGTTTTGTCCTGCATATTTGTTGCTCTCTGGAGCTGCTCTGACTTTTGTGTGTTCTTTTTTATTTGTAATGTAACATCAGATACAAACATCAGAGAACAATTTTCAAAAAAAGATGGCAACAAGTCTACAAACATTACAAAATCTTAACTCTTGAGAGTACAGACCACAAAAAACATGGCCTAGAACTCTTGTTAATATTTATGGGAATCAGATGTGCACAGAGGAAAGACCACAGTGCTTTCACAAATCTTGAAACTGTCACTATGATATAATGCCCATGGACATGAACAACATCATATCCATGCCTCTTTATCTCACAACTAGGAATAATCACAGAGGCTAATAATGTTCTGTATTTTAGTAACCTTTTTACATTTATTTGAGACAGCTGTTTGAAAAATGCTCACTCACAAGGAGTGCCAGCCCTGATATGAACATAATCATGTGGAGCTTTTTAAACAATCAGTTACAGTGCACTGGCAGCTTCCCATTGTGTGGTTTTCATTCAGAGTACAAAGCAGTCACACATGTCAGTGTGGCAGGAAAGGCTCTGCTCACCTTGTCAGGTAATGTTTTGATACTTTGCAGTTATGATGGCTCTATGCAGCCAAAACGAGTCAGCTGTGCTGTTACTGATTATCGGGGACTGGCTTGACATGCCAGACAGTATATTAATACAAGATAATCAGCTATCAGAAAATCCTTAGCACTCAAAAAATCCACTTTTTTCTTGAAAAAAACCATAATTTTGGGCCTGTTAACATTACAGCTGTAAATCAAAGAATTGTAGTAGCGGCTTCTTTAAAATCAGATAAACTGAAAACTCATGAAGGCAAATAATAATAAAGTGCTGATAAAGTTGATTTGCTCTGAAGTGAACAGCTGGAGAGACTCTCCTACACAGTGAAGATTAAGAAATCATTCCAGGTAGCAGAGCAAACCCCCTGGAAAGATTGTTCTGTATGGAACAAATTCTGAGAAACTTCTCAATTTTCATCCAGACCCCACTCAACCAAAAGGCTACTGAACCCAATCCTTATTTAGGAAAAGTTGACAGACATTAGCAGGGGGCCTGACTCAAAACAAGACTCTCTAAACTGAGTAAGGACCTGAGATTCTGGCTTTAAAATCAATAAACATTTATCAAATTAAAACCATACCACTGAAATCCATTCCTTTCTTTACCACAGAAATACCTTCTATGTCAATATGAAAAGGCTCGATGGTAGATTTTACACAAAACTGGAGTCCTGGGATGACAGATTCTGGCAGGAATCAGAGTCAGTGTATATGACCTATCACATTCATCAGTTCTGGAAACCAGTGTCTCAATAAAAAACACAGTTACAAAAATGTACATTTTTCCCCTGTCTGGGGCACTGACTGCTCTGTGGAATTCTGCAGGGTCTAAAGCTCACTGAGAGCAAAAATGATCTTTTAAGCTCTGTTGATGACCTTACTTCATTCCCAGCTCACAGATATAATATATAATGACAGGATAATTTATGTTGGAAGTCACCTCTGAAGTTCAACTCTTTCACAGCAGCACCAACTTCAAAGTTAGCTACTAACTCAAAGTCAGATCAGGTTTTTCAGGTCCTCGTCCAACTAAGTTTTGCGTATCTCCAACGACAGAAGTCTCAAAACCTCTCTAGATAACCCATTCTGTGCTTGACCTCCCCATAATTTATTTCTCCTTCTACCTAATCAGAATGTCTCCTGTTGCAGCCAGTGTCCCTTGCCTCTTGTTCTTTTGCACTCCTGAAGGTTCTCTGAGCACAGCCATGAATTTCCTGTGACCACCAAATCAACATCTCGTGACTGACTCCTGAATGATGCCTCTTTCTCAAACCTCCTCAGTCATCCACTTGTTTGAACGACCATGTTTCACCTAAGCTTACTTTCAACTAAGCTTGCCCAACCCTTAAATTGTCAGGAAAGTTGCTA